AGTCCGAATATGCAATCCATATAATCTACTGAGTCCGAATGTGCAATCCATATAATCTACTGAGTCCGAATATGCAATCCATGTAATCTACTGAGTCCGAATATGCAATCCATATAACCTACTGAGTCCAAATATGCAATCCATATAATCCACATGAAGGTAAAATATTTAAGTCAAGAGTTATGCGCAGTCAAAGAGACGCAGGGTTTCGTTGTGGTTGCATCACCTTATCAGCAAGGTTTACACACACATACACATTTGTTCTTGATCTTCTGATCTGGCCGAAGGCTACTACTACTGTCCTTGTCATCTCCAAATCAATTTTTAAATGCTGCCACAGCATTTTTGGGTTTGATAGATGAGATTTGTCTCAACAAGGGATATCAAAAAGTGCATCATAATTGCATCCAGACTGTCTGCACAAGTTATAAGTTGGACATCTTGGAACCTTGTACATGCAGGTAATTGAGGGAATAATGGTGACTGATGATGACATGCCATAGAGTAGCAAAGTTTCAGTAATGGTCAGCAGGGCTGAAGAACTATTTGACTGTGGTCTGAGAAAAAAGATGCAACAACAGCCAAAGAAAGAGTCGGTGGCTCAGGTAGTGAGCCCATCGGTCACACAACAAGAAGTGATGTAATTAACTCTGGGGTTTTGGTCAATGTTTGTCCAACTTGGAAACTATAACCTACCGTATGCTATATACTGCACAATATTGGATAAATCCTGGTTTTTTTACATCTCGTCCATGCAACAGAGAAGCCTCAGGTTGAGGGAGAGATCCTGTGTTAAACAGTTGGTGATTCATTGAGACATAATAAACTTATTAAGTAATAAACTCATTTCAGTGTTACACAAAGCTTTATCAATTGGGAATTAACACTGTTAAGGCACCTGTTCTCACTTGTTTTGAGCAAACAAGTCAACTTACCCATGGATAATTTACGACAGCCACATCCCTACTCATTTGCATTGCTACTGCTAATTGTCTTCAGAAACCACTATGGCAGATGTCATGTATCAGTATCAATACCTCTCATTGACTAAACTAATGTTTAGCATGGTTCTGTATACATGTTTAAACCAATATTTACTTATAGGTTATTGTTAAAATGCTCACATCAACTGCCTTCTGAAGTTTTAAAAAATAAATGTCTCATTCCACCTCGTTTTGCAGGTTATTAATGATGGTTGGCAATTAATTTCTTTGTTAAGATGAATATTTAATTTGAGTCATTCCTACAGGACCCTCTAGTCACTGCTAAAAATTAGGTTTTAGTGCTCGTGGTGGGCACAACACAGATAGCCCATTGTGTTGCTTTGTGCTTTACAACAAACATCTCTACAGCTACAGAAGTAAAATTTTATACCGTTTTCTTTATAATCTTCTTGGTACTAATTGAGAGCATATATATTCATTTTCATAATTAGAAGGATATTTGTTTTTAGTTGAAATGGTTTGATCAGGTATGAATGATAAACTAAGCATACTATCAATGACAAATTTAACTTCATTTTAATTTTGTCACAGTTGTTTACATTTTCTAAGTAATTCATCAGCTATTTTGTCAGCATAATTATACATAAAAAAAAAAATGATGTACCAACATATCATATGAGCAAATTGCAGAAGAAACTTACCTATATTTGTTTTTAGTTTTCATTTCATATTGAAATATGGTCATAACATAATAAAAGAAGTTATTTCTACCTCCAAACACGATGTTGTTTAGAATAACATTTAAGTTATTCCTACCTCCAAATGTGGTATTGTTTAAAATAACATTTAAGTTATTCCTACCTCCAAACATGGTATTGTTTAAAATAACATTTAAGTTATTCCTACCTCCAAACATGGTATTGTTTAAAATAACATTTAAGTTATTCCTACCTCCAAACATGGTATTGTTTAAAATAACATTTAAGTTATTCCTACCTCCAAACATGATGTTGTTTAAAATAACATTTAAGTTATTCCTACCTCCAAACATGGTATTGTTTAAAATAACATTTAAGTTATTCCTACCTCCAAACATGGTATTGTTTAAAATAACATTTAAGTTATTCCTACCTCCAAACATGGTATTGTTTAATATAACATTTAAGTTATTTTAAATTTGGGGAGTACAAGTAGTTGTACGTATATTTAAGTAGCTGGGATAGTTTCTGTAGAGAGACTGCAAACTGACACATCTTAAACCTTACTTGCACTTACAAGAATTTATCTTCTGAAACATACCACCTAACAGCTAATTTGGTAAGTTGCGGTTGGACAAATAATATTGTCCTAGAAGTTATCTGCTTGTATTTTTATAATTTACTCCGTGTGTTTGGTAATTAATGTTGGTTGTGGTTATTTAAACACTTTAGTGAAAAATAACAGTTCGTTGTTTTGAAGAATTAATTTCATTTGTAGATTTTGTTTTGAAAATTACCGGTTATTTCTCTGCATCTTTACAGATGTTCGGACAAGCACCATAAGGCAACAGCCACCTCCACCACCACCACCCCCTCTCAGTCAGGGATATCCTAGAATTAATCCTGAAAATGTATCTGGACCCCAGCCTAAACTACAAGTACATCTGACAAGGCCGTTTGCTAGTTACGCAAGTGAGTGTTAATGTTTGGTGCGATGAGAAGATGGGAGTCGTAGAAAGTGAGCGAGCAGACACAGTAACTAGTCAAGGAATGTAGGCTTATTCTGGTCATTCCAGATTTACGGTGTTGATTTGAGCTGAAGTTCTTTTATTGTTAGAATGGCATTTACTTCTTCAACTTTTGCCATTACTATACGCAACTTGCAGTCAATAATGGTGGTATAGTAAGACGATTATGTTAACACTGCTGGCACTATTAATGATTTATTAGTGAGCATGTGAAGGAAAGTCAGTATTGGAATAAAGATTAAGAGTTAGACCACATAAACAACTAGTAGTTCAGTTACTGACTTGTGAAGGAAAGTCTGGATCAAGTAAATTCTGCTAACAATACTAGTGACTCAATATTGGGATAAACATTAAGAGTTAGACTAAGTAAACAACCAGAAGTTTGTTAGTGGTTGAGTTGAGAAGAAAAGCTGCATCATTATGTAATAACTTCTACAAGAAGAGTTGCTAAATATCGTTAATAAAGATTACAATTAATAATAGTTAGTCTTAACTATAAGCGACAGGCAAGCCTTTATGAACACTCTGCATTACATTATCAGTTGGGTGTACTTGCCTTTAGTGGTGAGTTCCACTAACACTGTAGTGGTTGTGTTGAGAAAAATAGGCTGACTTGTGCAAACTCTACTAGCAGCACAGTGGCTGTACAGAAGAAAAACTGGATACGGTAAACTGCTATTATTGTACGGTGGTTGAGTTGAAATCAAAAACTGGATAGTATAAATATTTATACCAATGCAGTGGCTGTGTACAAGAAAATAGCTGGGTCACATAAACTACTAGCAGAGTGGTGGTTGATTTTAAAAGAAAAGCTGAAGCAAGTAAATGCTACTAGTAGTGTACTGGTTGAGTTTAAAAGAAAAGCTGAAGCAAGTAAACACTACTAGTAGTGTACTAAGTAAATGCTACTAGTAGTGTACTGGTTGAGTTTAAAAGAAAAGCTGAAGCAAGTAAACACTACTAGTAGTGTACTAAGTAAATGCTACTAGTAGTGTACT